TTGTGCACGCTTTCGTCATCGTTGCCGGACAGATCCTTGTCCGCCAGATTGGCGCCCAGCTCGGGAGAGAAAATAGTGACCGCCGCCTGGACGGCCCGCTTGACGAGATTATCGAGGGCAAACATCCAGTGCGGCTTGATACAGTGGAACCGCAGCACGCAGACCACCGCGTCCTGAAAGGAGTACAGGGCCAGATGAAGATGGTCCAGGGCAACGGCGTCGTTGTTTAACTTCTGCTTCAGCTCATTGATAGTTGCCTCCAAGTGCTTCTCGTTCTCGTTCATGATGTAATCCCGCAGGCCCCGGATCAGCACCTCGAGGTCGCTCTTCCTAATAGCAATTGAATTCTGATCGGCGTCCACCTTCTTGAGCCAAATGTCGCAAATCTTGGATTCATCGAGGGCCAGCACCTTGGACAGCGTGGTCCTGCGCTGGGAATCCTTCTTCAGCCGATAGAATCCGTCAGTCTCACTCGTTTCACTGATGCTCGTGCGCAGGGACGGCGTGGTTGGCTCGATCTCGGGCGAGAGCAGAAAGCCAGAGGAGTTGCGCCGCTCCAGCAGGAACTGGTTGCTGGGCAGCTCGTCAATGTCCACTGAGGAGGTGTGAGTAATGCTGGAATAAAGAGTGTAAGCGGGATTTTAAGCGACACTCCCTTAAAGTCTGATTTACAATCAATATTTATTCGAATCGGTGGCATGCTGCCCTCCTGACTTTCAAACTTAAGTGCGCCCTTGGCTTATCGCTAATAGGGCTGTTGAGTGATAACACCAATCAATATATGTACTAATGATAGTTGCATGCGATTGTAATACAAGACACTAACAAGAAAGGCACGCCGAAGTTTGTATACCATTGCAGTTTCTAATTGGATCATTAACAATCGATCTAAAACTAAAAGGAGATATATAGATATAAATATATATAGAAACGGACAGACGGACATGGCTAGATCGACTCACATCTGTTGATGCTGATCAAGAATATATATACTTTATAGGATCGGAAATGTCTTTCACTGCCTTGCAAACTTCTGACTGAAATTATCATACCCTGCAAGGGTATAAAAGTAAAAACATAAACAAACTTACTCCAATTCCGGCGTTGTGGGAGTGTTACAGGTGGTGTTGTAACTCAGCGGAGGTGTCGTTTTGTGGACCAAGCGATCGGCGGGCACGGAAATGCTGCGTCCAAACTCCGTATTGATAGGCAAAACCGGACGCAACTTGCGTTGTTTACTGAATGCGTCAGAAAATAGATTTAAAGAGATGACAGAGGGGGAAGGGCTGCCAGAAACTTACTCTGCAAGAAAGGGATCGTCAAGCAGCTGCGAGGCGGAGGGGCGGTCTAGCACGCTGATGGCGAAACAGCGAAGGATGAAATTCTTGGCGTTGGGTGACAGCTCCTCGGGTATGTTGGGGTGCTTCTTGTAATAGCCAACCTTGAACATGGCCGCCTGGGCGCAGCCCAGCTCGATGAACGGCGGCTTGCCGGTGGCCATTTCCACATTGGTGCAGCCAAAAGACCATATGTCGGCTGCAGGACCGTAGCCTCGCACGCCCTGATCGATAACCTCCGGCGCCATGTACTGCAGAGTGCCTGTGAACGTTTCCGTCATGGGATTAATGCGGGCCAGCCGCTTGGAGGTGCCAAAGTCGGAGATCTTGACCACGCCGCTGTACGTGTTAACCAGCACGTTGTCGCCCTTGATGTCGCGATGCACGATGTCCTGCTCGTGCAGGTACTTGAGGCCCTCGAGGATCTGCTTGGAGTAGAAGGCCATGGTGGACTCGTTGTCCTTGAGCGGACCCCACTTGGTCTCCAGCAGGTCGGACAGCGAGCCTCCCGGCACCTGCTCCATGAAGATCTTGAAGAAGCCGTCCTCCGATCGCGAGCCCAGATACCGAACGATGTTTCGGTGCCGCAGCTGGGAGTGCAGTTTGATCTCCTCGTGCAGGGGCTGCACGTCCTGGGAGTTCTTCTCCGGGACTTCCTTTATGGCAATTCGCACCTGCGTCTGGTTGTCGCGGGCGGCGTACACGGTTCCGTACGTGCCCTTTCCCAGAACCATCTTACGGTTCTGATCATCGTAGTCATACTCGTACTGCCATGAAGGACAATGGGTTAAACTCCTTTCGTACACAGACTGGGGTGTGATTACCAACCTCGATTTGCGCCTCATCGTTGCTGAGGTTGACGAATACCACCTGATCGGCGGTCATCTCCAGGATCAGGTCGTAGAACTTCTGCCGGCACTCGGTCGAGGGGAAGTATATTTGAAAGTCGTCCGAGTTGTGATGCACATACAGGTAGGCGCAGCGGTCGTCCCGTTTGTAGAGACTCACGGATTTGATCTTTGAGGCCACGAACAGGAAGTCGTGCAGCCGCTTGCACCCATTCTTTGTGTGGGCCAAGCAGATGTTTACGATCTGTATGGATTTCTCATCGGCATCCATGTTTATCGTTACGTAACTGGGCATGTAGATCTTTTGCGGCTCGAGAATCTGTCGATTAAAAATATTTCCGTTCAGTTGCGATCAGTTGCAGGTCAGATATGGATATTTACCAGGATGGGGAACCGAATGCTGTTTTTCACTTCCTCCGTGTTGGTGGCCTCCAGGAAGAAGTCCATCCAGAACTGAAAGACCTGCTCCTCGATGGCAGGCAGACGTTCCTCGGGCTGCTTGCGGAACCGGTGGATGAGCGATATGTTGCCGATTGTGGACTTGAGGTACCAGTTGGGCGGCTTCAGCTTGAACATGCACTCGGCCGCCTGAATCGCCTTGGCATAGTCCTTTGCCAGGACAGAGATCTCGAAGAAGGTGGCAACGTCCCAATATTCGCTCAGCGAGGACAGGCTCCCCTTCTTGCCGATCAGATTGTTCAGGGTCATGCCAATATGCTGCAGCTCTTCCGTGTTGCTGAACTCCTTTCCCTCGATTACCAGCAGCGTGGCCAAATTAATACCCGCATACTCGTTCGGCTGCACCTCGAAGCTCTGGCGGTACCACTTGATGGCCTGCGCCAGACTGGTGGCGTCCGTGTAGTCAGACTCCACGAAGATGTCCTTGTAGATGCGTCCGCAAAGGCAGAGCATGTCCGGGAAGTGATTCTCCTTCTTCTCCAGCGCCTTGAGCGAGGACTCGAGGGCTTTCTCCCTGTCGCCCTTCCGGTTCCGGCGGTTCAGGGCGAACGCGTACAGAAAACTCATGTTGCCCGTCTCCACATACTTACGGGTGTTCGGGATGTTCTTCAGGTCATTCACCAGTCGCACCATTGCGTCGTAGTCTTGGACGTCCCTCAGCGAACACATAAAGCTGTGCACCACTTCCCCGGACAGGACATGAGGATCATCCAGTCGCTTTCGCATCTCGTGGAGGATGCTCTGTAGCTTGGCACCGTTGGTGGCATACGTATCCCTTGCCGCTCGCATGTCGCTGAGAAATTTCTCACGCATGTGTGCTCTGTGGAATATAGGGAGGGATTTATATTGTCATTGGATGACCTAGTGGATGTCTGGGCCATGGGAAATGCACTCACTTTGATTGGATCTCCACATCCTGCAGCTTTCGCTTGAGACGCCACTGCAGCGTGGGCACTCGTCCCTCGGCCAAGGACTCCTTGTTGTTGTTGTTGTTGACCTGGTTGGTCAGATGGCAGGAATTGGTCTCCGCATTCAATTTATAGCTGAGAAACAAGTAGTTGGCACAGGAGAGCTGGAACGGAGAGGAGGGGATCAGCAAATGTGTGAAGTGTGGTCATTTTTATGGCCGCCACTGTGAATGCAGGCCCACACAGCGTTGGAGTGGGTGTGTGTGTGCGTGCCTCTTTGAGTGTTTGCGTGGGCGCGCTCGCATTTGTTATTGTTATTGTTGGAGCCTTCGCTTTTGTTGTTTTATTGCCGCGGCCAAAACAAAAATAACGAGTCTTTCGGCGGAAATAGAAAGATCAGCAGCGGCGGCAGCAACAGCAGGGAGTCACGACTTGGCTACCGTTTCAAAGGTAAGCGCAAACACACACCTCGCTGGGCATTTATCTTATCGGAAAACGAACCGATCACGCCTTAAGATGTTTGCGGATCTCCCAGGCGGACGGACACGCCGGGAGAGGTAAATAACAGGGCAACACGCACCTTGAGACTGAGTGTCTGCTTGGACTCGACGTCGTTGTAGATGAGGATGTTCTCCTTCATCCCGAAGCTCTCCCGCACGCCGTAGTGGTAGGACAGCGGCCGCTGCTGCGTGAGGATGCTCAGATCGATGACGGCCACATCCGCGTTGTAGAAGGTCTCCAGCACATTCGTCTCCCCAAAGTCGAGGCGCTCGAACTGCAACGGGAGAGTCGGGAGTTGGGGAAGTGGTCGAATTTAGGATTTCAGATCGCAGGCTACTGCCCCCGCACACCAATATGTATACGGAATGCCAAAATTGTATAACCACTCGCACCTGGACCCGCTGAAAATTGGCACCCGCTGCCTGCACCGCCTGCTTGACCTCCTCCAGCGCACAGATACGGTCCTCCAAATGATCGCCCACGGCGGTATCGATTACACACACCACATCCATGGCTATTCCAATCCGATTCGATCTGCCCGCAGCTATTCCTGGCACTCTGCTCGCTTCGCACTGTTTTTGGACGGATTTCGGGCACTTAGCGCACTTTCTGGTCGGTGAACGCGCGCACCTTAGTGGTAAACAGTTTCATTACCACATACTTGCTGCAATTGCATCGCGATAATTGCCGCGCAACGTAAAATTATATCAATAAATAAGGAAATCTAGAAATAAATGCGCTGGACAGCGCGTAGTGTGGCCAGCGTTCAGGTTGGTTAAAATATACCACCAACTGCGAAGAATATACTAAAACAAACTATGACCGCAAATTTAAAAATGTGTATTTTCATATTTTTACCGTTAAAAAATATAAATAACTAAACAAGCATATATAACTTAATTTATTTATTATTAATTTATGACCTGCAAAAACATACGATTTTTAACAATTTCTATTCCACGCATTATAAAAATATCTTTTCAATCCAAAAACTATAATTTTTTCAAAAAGATTTATATTTATCGCAAAAACTTTTCTCCTAATACTAGGTAAAAACTCGTGTTTTAACTTGCGTACTCCTTGAGAATTGAGCCCGCGATTACCAACCTCTGGATCTCGGAGGTGCCCTCGTAGATCTCTGTGATGCGAGCGTCCCGGTAATGCCTTTCGGCGGCCATATCCGTCACGTAGCCCATTCCGCCCAGAATTTGAATGCACTGGTGCGAGCACATTGTGGCAGCCTCGGAGGCCGCCAGTTTAGCCATGGCGGCCTCCTTGGTATATGGTTGCTTGTTGTCCTTTAGCCAGGCAGCGCGCCACGTAAGCAGACGTGCGGACTCCATGGCCAACGACATGTCTGCAATCTTCTGCTGAATTGATTGCAGCTTGGAGATGGGCTTTCCGAAGGCCTGTCGCTTCTGGGCGTAGTCCACAGCGAGTTCCAGGGCCGCCTGACCAATGCCGAGGGCCTGTCCGGCGATTCCTATGCGTCCGGCGTCTAGAGTCTGCATGGCTATCTTGAAACCGAATCCAGGCTCACCCAGCATGTTCTCCTTGGGTACCGCGCAATCTTCAAAGATGAGCTGGCAAGTAGAAGATCCCCTGATGCCAAGCTTATCCTCCTTCTTGCCCAACGAAAAGCCTTTGGTACCCTTGGGAACTATGAAAGCGGAGATGCCCTTGTGCTTCAGCTGCTTGTTGGTGGTGGCGAATACAATTGCCGCCTCAGCCTCGAAGGCGTTTGTAATCCACGCCTTTGTTCCATTCAGTACAAAGTGGTCACCCTTGTCGGTGGCTATAGTGGACGCAGCTCCGGCGTCGGATCCGTTTCCAGGCTCCGACAGGGCAAAGCAACCCACGCGCTCGCCGGCTGTAAAGGGTGTGATGTAGGCTTCCTTCTGGGCGTCGTTTCCAAATGAGAGCAGTGGCCCCAAGTAGAGGGAGTTGTTCACCGACATGATGACGCCAGCGGAGGCACAACCGCGAGAGATCTCCTCCATGGCAATGGCATAGGCCACATAATCCAGACCGGTGCCACCTTTTGAGAAGGAATACGATTATAGGTGGAATGTATTGATGGGTTAAGCCCTCTTTACCCAACTCCTCGGGTATTGCCACTGCCATTACGCCTAGCTCGCCCATCTGGCGTATTTGCTTCTCCGGATACAGGTGTTCCCGATCGAATTTCGCCGCATTTCCACTTAGCTCACAGTTGGCAAAGTCCCGGCAGGTCTTCTGAAGCATCTGATGAGTGTCCGGCAGTGCCGAAAGGGATGCAATCTGGCGTACATTTAACGATCTGCGGGCTGAACAGCACTCCCATATCAGAGCAAGGATCTTGCATATAAAAATACGCTTTGTGGCTGCGGGGATCAAAGTCCACTGGTTACAATGTCTTACCAATACTCAGCGAGCGGGTTAGCACGGACTGCATGGTGGATGTGAATAAGATAAAACTTAAATTGCTTAGATATATTGCATAAAAACTGGATTAAAACGAGTGCTAAAAATTATTCGCTAATTAAAAAAATATTACAAATATGTAGTGTGGCCAGATGTGGGCACCGGCTGTGTAACAAGTGGTATGTGACACATACGGTTTGTATTGGTATTTTATACAAAAACAACAAAAATCATATTAATTTATAAAATATCTCATTCACCTTCTAATTAAATTAGTTGTACAAATGATTTATAAATTTGTTCTTTTTATTTACATTTAATTTATATAGGAAATAAAATACCTCGAAGAAAATACTAGATCGCAACGTTTGTTCTTTTACCAAATACGGGCATACCACTGCAGATTTGCATCAATTGAATTGTTTTGGTTTTACTTGAGGCATGTCACAGGTTGATTCCCTCGGCTACAAGTACGACAATGGAATGGAAAGTAAGTATTCAGAAGGTTGGAGAGCTATGGATGTGATTATTATTTTCTGCATTGTTCCCTTTAGTTATTGAGATCGAACCGCTCGTGGACAAGGAGGAGGCCCCGCCATGGAAGATCAAACGGCTGATGTGCAATATCAACGGCTGCACATACCAGACGGATAGGAGGAGGGATATGCGTCGCCATAAGCGCTCTACGAAACACTTGGACTACGACTACTGTTCGGAGGACTCTGATTCAGACATTGATCGGCCACCGTTTTCCTGTAAACTGTGCAGTTACACGACTGCCAAGAAGTTCTGCTTCGTTCGGCACGTCCGATCGGTGCGACACATACGAAGGGAGCAGGAGGCAGAAGAGGAGGAGAAGCAGGCGCAGAAAAAGGCAGGACCCCCGAAAATGGAAAGCCTAGAACTAGCGGAACCAGCGCTGTATACAGTACAAGAGGGAGGCAATATGTTATTGAGTTGCGTGCTCTGCGACTACAGCACTTCCCAAAAAATACACATGGCGCAGCACAACAAGACTCCTCAGCACATACAGAACATGCAGATCATTGCGGATGAGAGCGAGTTCATCGAGTTTGCGCCACTGGAGGAGGATGAGGTAGTGGAGGGATTGAATGAAGCAGCTCTCGAGGAACAGCCGCCCATCTCTTTGGCGATCGACAGGGAACTTGATAACTTTATATCCGTCGATGGAGGGACGTTCGAGTGCACAGCCTGTGAATACAAGACGGCCAGAAAATTCTGCTTCGCCCGCCACGTGCAGTCTAGAAAGCATCTGGCCAAGTTGCAGGAACTGGAGGAGGCAGACCCCATTGTCCAAGCCAATCTGGGCGACATCATTGAGTATGCGCCGGCGGAGGAAAAGATTACTGAAGAGGTTCTGTACCTGCCGACAGTCGATGATCCGGGGGAGTACTACTACATTATTGCAAGCAACGACTCTTGAAGCTTGAATACTTGTATAATGTATTTGTAGTTTACAAGTTTCGTAAATGTTGTTAAATCTTTAAGTACAAAACGATATATGTAAATATTTTGAAGCTCCAGAAATTAATTATCAATTTACAATCAGCCCACAGCTAAACTTAATAATGGCTTAACAATAATTATTTAAGAGTCGCAACTAAGTAGTTATATAAACGGTAAATGTTACAAATAAATAATTTTGTAAAAAGAGAGTTAAAATAAGAAGTATAATTTGTTTAGCTCCACTTTTTTTTATCCCCTAATCACGCAATAACACGTTGTGCACGAATACTTTCTGGTGTGACTGTGTATCTGCCAAATTTGCCTCTTGACAGCCCGCTTGCATCTCTGCGCAGATTTGACGCGCACGCACTGGAACTTGTTTAACGTTTTTATGTTTTTCTCTGCACAAATTTTTTAAATTCAGCACAACACAAATAGGAAAACGCGTTTTTATTTTTTATCCGTTCGCCGTGTCCCGTGGAGGGGAGAGATTCGCCCAGCACAAGAATAAAGCATCGCAATAGCAAGTCCCGTTTGTCGTTTTATTGATTTGCCGTCACTTTTGGAGTTTTTAGTTTTTCCTTCGCAATTTGTTTTCCGCATCCGTCGCATCCACAGCCTGCTGCGAAACGTAAAGGTAACAGCAAAGTGCAGTGCGCCCCGGGCGAATATAAACAATAAACAAGTGGGGGCCGGCAGAGCAGCGGAGAGGGGAGTTCCAAGTGATAACAGAGCGGAGCACCATAGCGCCCAGAGAGGAGGAGCAGCAGCTCTCCCGCTCTCAAAGAACTGTCGTGCACTAGTGTGGGTGTCGTTGCTCCTGCTCGCATCGTTTATCTGCGGCCTGCTCTCGGTGCCTCTCCGGCGATCTCTTGATTAGAGAGAGGCAAAGAGAGCAAAGGTGCTGTCCCGGCGCCTATAAAAAGGCCACTCGCACCTAGCGATCGCCATTAATTTGACGCGAGAATCTGCCGACTTATCCCCGCAAGGTGGAAAGCTACCGTGAGTTGTGGACTCGGAGGATTTTCCCATTACGAATAGTGTTGCCTCGAGTGGAAAAGTGAATACTAGTACTTGGTTGCAAACCGAAAACATCCAAAGGATTCAACAACATGACAAATTCAATATAGTGGCATCATCACCGTGACTAACGATAAATAATAATTAAAATTTAACTTGCAACAGTTTTAAGTTTAAATTGAAACATTTTGAAAATTATTTTTAAAATTAAAAACTCGCAATCTGTGGGACTACGGTTTAATAATTTTTAATAATCCCATGGAAATTCGTGTGAATTTGATTTGATTAAAAAAACAAACAAACATACGCCATCTTTACCACGTAGCTTTTATTGGCCCAAACGAAAACAAACTACTAATAAAAATATCTGAAATAAAAGAACAAAAGCATACAGTCATCGTGCGTCCACAATCTTTAAGAGCGACCGATTGACCGAGAACCATGTGGGATTGGAACAAATAAAACAACTTACTAATCTATACTTCCTGATTTATGACATTATCATTTTTTAGCGTAACCGGCACACCGGACACAGACCCGACCAATGTCCTAGGAAATCGATAGAGTTAGTACACACACACGACCAAAATGCAGTCAATGAAAGCCGACGAGCTGCCGGAGAATCCGCGCGAGACGTCAAACATCTTCTCATCCCTGATGTTCTGGTGAGTTTTCATAAACCCACTTTCTTAGACTTTTGATCCTATGACCTTAAAACCCATTAGCTTTGCCATGCCCACATTCTTCAAGGGACGCAAGAAGACCTTGGACGAGAGCGATTTATACAGGGCGCTGCAAGAGCATAAATCAGGTGAGTTTTGGTTTGGATTCGGTTGGACTGCTGCCCATTGTTTCCCCAAAAAGATTTGTGAGTAATTGCGCTTTAGTGCGAAAGTACCCAAAAGAGCAGACCTTTCGGTCGACGCGCCTTGCATAATAAGTAAGGGGGCTGGGATCTTGGGTCGAAGATAATTTATGGCTATATCTGCTGGCCAGTCGATAATCAAATTAATTGAATTATTAAATGGAAATCGCTACGCCAGTTCCTCCGATAAGGCCGTTTAGTTTCAAGGAGTTCTCCCTTATCAGCACGTAACTGAGATTAAGCCGTACGTGACGTCATGGGGCCATAGATTTAACGAGATGAAACCTGGCATACATAGGTGTAGGTGACTAATAAATGGGTCGGACACGCTTCCACCACGTCCTCGGGTGCAATGATCGAGTTTCGATTTCACTGCCCTTTGTCCAACGGTAAAGTGGATTCTGAAGATGGACATTAGTCGCGTGTAAAATCCCTGGTACCCTGCGGTCCGCGGACGGGGGGCTGTAATTTATATAATCAGCAAAGCGGCATATTTACCACACTATCTATAGCTTTTAGACACTCCCCAAATGAAGTGCCCGGCAGACACTTCAAGGCGTCCCGACCATTGCGATTAGATACGGCTTAGCATGCGCCCACCACCCTTGCTGACCGAAACGGCTTTCGGTTATTCCGTTTGTCCAAGTTTCGAAGGATCAGGCGAGCATTGGAGGGCTCTCCTCTTCTTCAAATGGGGAAGTGGCGATTAGATTCTCCGCATATCACTCACGTCTGGCTTATTGCTATATGGCATTTTTGTTTCATTGAGATCTTCAAACGGAACTATAATCCGGGCGATAAGATAGCCCTTGGATACGAACATTCTGCACCATCATTCATTGAATTATACGATCCCCAGAGAGGGCGACGGCGATGATATCCAATCTCTGTCACTTTTAGACCTTTGATTTCCACATTCAAATCTGTGACAACTCTGATATCTTTGACAGCGTCCGCTGGCCGCAATTAATTGAATTTACTGCCGAATATAATTGATAACAGTTTTCCAACACCCCCGATATATACGCAATTAGCTATCTCAGACTTATTTACTTATAGACTTATAATAAATGGGCACCTAGAGATACTGTATTGAGTGGAACGAGCCATTGGAGTTATGCAATGCAAACAATAATACACATAGGCATCATATCTGGGCAAATATTTATATATATAAGAGCTTACAATGGTGACTGAGGAGCTTAAGCTTTTGTTTCAATTCCTCCTAATCGGTGTGCTATCTAAGCCCTCAAGGCTTTAGTGCGGAAGTGCCGGAATCAATCACCAATCGAAGGGAGGTAAGGGGAATCTCCCGGCCGATAAGATCGATTGGAGTAAATGCAGCTGGCAGCTGACCGGGATTTGCCTTTGTTGCCAGCCATAATTCACGGTCAAACCAAAGCACTTCCATTGACAATTCGCTGGATTTATGGCCCGTGGTTACGGCTGCAATGATAAAGCAATTGACTCTAGCCTCCAGTTACAGTAGCGCAGCCTTGTCTGACTTGTGTTTTTCTGATCATCTGTAAAGAAGCAGTCTACAAGTTAGACTAAATAAATTAAAAACGAAAAATGCCAAGGAAAAGCCTCCAAAATTAAGCTAGGTCAATGATAATCCAATTCTGAATTCTGTGACATCATAACATTTTGAAGTATCAGTATGGCATTTTTCTGAAGAGCTCTGTGGTTAGCAAACCTGCTGACAAATAATTATAATCTATGTATGTAAAATGGTAATAATCGGTATAGATCTGAAGTTAGGGAAAACGAAAATAGCTTTCAAATGTGCTCACCAAACCAATGACGAAAAGACTTGTATCATCAAACAGATAACAGTATAAGGCTTTAGCGCAGAACCTTCGTAAAAATCTTTATACTGCCTGCTAAGGTGTATCATAAAATGATAATGGGTGTTTCACAGCCTATTCAAAAGATGACAATGTATAAAATAGAACACGATATCTGTGTTTTTATCTGACCATACTTATTTAGCAGAGCATCTATGTATAGTATATAGTATAGTATAGATTCTATACTAACCAAATCCAATGACCTACATAATTATTATAAATTGCTCTAATACATTAAAATTAAACGAAAATTAACGAATTTCTTTAGAGCGTTTGCACAATTTATTCATGGTTGTTTGTTTTGGAACCATCTTCAAACGCATTGAATCTCGGCATCGCCAACTCGGGCAATCTCAACCAGACCATATTTTCCCGTCTTCAGAAATAATTTATTGCCTTCACTGGGGCTGGGTGCACTTTGTTGATATCTCAATCTCCACGCTTTCCAGATCACCTGGGCAGCAAGCTGAGCGCGGCGTGGGAGAAGGAGGTGGAGAAGAAGCGCAAGAAGAAGAAGACCCCCAGCCTGCTGAAGGCCTCGATGCATGTGTTCGGCTGGCGCCTGGCAACCCTAGGCCTGGTGCTCTTTATCTTGGAGATCGGTTTCCGGTAAGCTGCCTGCCTGGCCCCGCCCACTGGCAGATTTCTAGATGATTTATTTATTTATTATCCCTGTTCCTCCAGAGTTACCCAGCCGCTGTTCCTGGGACGCCTGGTGGCCTACTATGCGGACACGGCCAACCAAGAGGGCGATAACCAGACAAAGGCCTATCTGTACGCCCTGGGCGTGATCTTGACCAGCGCCTTCAACGTCCTCTTTATGCATCCCTACATGCTGGGCATGTTCCACGTCGGCATGAAGGCCAGAATTGCCATGACAAGTGAGTTGGAGTTTGGGGCAGGGAATGGTTCTTTATTGTGACACATGAATAATGATCGCCCCGCAGGCATGATATATCGGAAGGCGCTGCGCTTGAGCCGAACGGCACTGGGCGACACCACCATCGGTCAGGTGGTCAATCTCATCTCGAACGATGTGGGCCGGCTGGATGTCTCCGTCATCCACATGAATTATTTATGGCTGGGCCCCGTCGAGATTGGCATTATCACATATCTCATGTACAGGGAGGTAGGTTATCTATCCGTCGTTGTTTACCACTTAAGAGAAAAACAAAGCTTCCTTAACTCGAGTGGAGTTGCTTGTTAAGCAAGAAAACATTCTAATTGATGATAGCTTAACCCTATATATAGACTATCGATATTCAGCCAGTCACTTAAGCTTAGATACTTAAAAAAAACTTCTTGCCTTTTCAGATCGGGATCTCTGCCTTCTTTGGCGTGGCCGTGATGCTGCTCTTTATCCCTCTGCAGGCGTATCTGGGCAAGAAGACCTCGGTGCTGCGATTAAAGACCGCACTAAGAACGGATGAGCGAGTGCGAATGATGAACGAAATCATCTCGGGCATCCAGGTGATCAAGATGTACGCCTGGGAGATTCCTTTCAGCAAAATGATCAACTATGTGCGCACTAAAGAGATGAATGCCATCCGGAATGTGAACTATATTCGTGGCACGCTGCAGAGTTTCATCATGTTTGTGACGAGGATCTCGGTGTTTGTGAGCTTGGTGGGTTTTGTGCTGCTGGGAAAACTGCTGACCGCCGAGAAGGCCTTCGTGATTACCGCCTACTATAATATCCTGCGCAACACCATGACCGTCTATTTCCCCATGGGCATCTCGCAGTTCGCGGAGCTCTTGGTCTCGATCAAACGTATCCAGACTTTCATGCTGCATGAGGAGACCAAGGTGCGGGACAAGTCGGAGGATCTGGACGAGCAGAAGCTGGGCAAGGCAGGGCTTATAGCCGATCCGGCTTTGGCCCAGACCACTGGGGTTCTGAAGCCCGAAAGCCGGCGCAGCAGTGCAGCGGAGCATAGTATCAACATTAGCAAGCTGAAGGCCAAGTGGGATCCGAAGAGCACCGACTACACCTTGGACAACATCTCCCTGAAGTTCAAGCCCCGGCAATTGGTCGCAGTCATTGGTCCAGTGGGCTCCGGAAAATCCAGCTTGATTCAGGCTGTGCTGGGAGAACTGAATCCCGACTCGGGATCAGTGAAGGTCAACGGCACTCTGTCCTACGCCTCCCAGGAACCTTGGCTCTTTACCGGCACCGTTCGCCAGAACATCCTCTTTGGCCTGCCCATGGACAAGCACCGCTATCGCACCGTGGTGAAGAAGTGCGCCTTGGAGAGGGACTTCGAGCTGCTGCCGTATGCGGACAAGACCATTGTGGGTGAACGTGGAGCTTCGCTCTCCGGCGGTCAGAAGGCGCGTATTAGCTTGGCCCGAGCTGTTTACCGGAAGGCGGATATCTACCTGCTGGACGATCCCCTTAGTGCCGTGGACACGCACGTTGGGCGCCACTTATTCGACCAGTGCATGAGGGGATTTCTGCGGGAGGAAATCGTACTACTGGTGACCCACCAACTGCAGTTCCTGGAACAGGCCGACGTCATTGTAATCATGGACAAGGGTAAGATCAGTGCAATGGGCACCTACGAGTCCATGTGCAAGAGCGGTCTGGACTTTGCCCAGATGCTGACGGATCCCAGCAAGAAGGACGAGGGCGCCGGCGATGCTCCGGACAAGAAGAGCCTTTCCCGACAAAATAGCAAACTGCGAGACCGGCACGGCAGCATCTCGTCCATGGAGTCCACCGCCGAGTCCTTGGCAGCGGAGTCGCCCATGCAGACGCAGGAGGCTCGCGTGGAGGGTCGCATCGGAATGAAGCTCTACAAGAAGTACTTTGGGGCCAATGGCTATGGACTGTTTATTGTGTTTGCCTTCTTCTGCATCGGTGCTCAGGTACTAGCCTCTGGTGGTGACATCTTCCTATCTTACTGGTGAGTTTTTCTAACTATTCATTAATTAATAACTATTAATAATTTAATGAACGAATCCCAGGGTCAACAAGAATGGCGAAGCTGAGCGGGACACATTTATGGCTCGTCTGCGACGCGCCTTCCCCCGAAACCCGTATCAACGCAGACACGGACCCCATAGACATCTACTACTTCACTGGCATCAACATTTCCGTCATCGTCTTCTCCCTGGTTCGGAGCATGCTCTTCTTCTACCTGGCCATGCGCAGCTCCACGACCCTGCACAACACAATGTTCCAAGGCGTGACCCGGGCGGCAATGCACTTCTTCAACACGAACCCCTCCGGCCGTATCCTGAACCGCTTCTCGAAGGACTTGGGACAAGTGGACGAGATCCTTCCGTCCGTGATGATGGACGTTATGCAGATCTTCCTCGCCATCGTGGGTATAGTGGTAGTGCTGTGCATCGTCAATGTCTGGTATATTCTGGCTACCATCTTCCTGGTCATCATTTTCTACATACTGCGAGTCTTTTATCTGAACACGTCCCGAGATGTTAAGCGTCTGGAAGCTGTCAGTAAGTGGAAAAGCTTTAATAATAATTGATTTTTTTTATGTTTATGGAAACCTCAAAATGCGTACTCCCTTAACAGCCCGATCACCCATTTACTCCCACTTGAGTGCCTCCCTTAACGGCCTTGCCACCATCCGAGCGTTTGGAGCGCAAAAGGAACTGATCGCGGAGTTTGACAACTACCAGGACATGCACAGCTCCGGCTACTACATGTTCCTGGCCACGAGCCGAGCCTTCGGATACTGGCTAGACTGTGTGTGCGTCCTCTACATAGCCGTTATCACGCTGAGCTTCTTCCTGTTCTCCCCGGAAAACGGGGGAGATGTGGGTTTGGCCATTACCCAGGCAATGGGCATGACCGGTATGGTGCAGTGGGGCATGCGACAGTCGGCAGAGCTGGAAAACACAATGACGGCGGTGGAGCGCGTTGTGGAGTACGAGGACCTGGAGCCGGAGGGCGACTTTGAGTCACAGCCGAAAAAGAAGCCGCCAAAGGACTGGCCGGAGGACGGAAAGATCGTGTTCGACAACCTGTCGCTGAAATACTTCCCCGACAAGGCGGCTGACTACGTGCTCCGATCCCTGAACATTGCGATCGAAGGCTGCGAGAAGGTGGGCATCGTGGGACGCACTGGTGCCGGAAAGTCCTCACTGATCAACGCTCTCTTCCGGCTGTCCTACAACGAGGGCGCCATCTTGATCGACAGGCGCGACACCAACGATCTGGGTCTACATGATCTGCGCAGCAAGATCTCCATTATTCCCCAGGAGCCGGTGCTCTTCTCGGGCACCATGCGCTACAACCTGGATCCCTTTGACGAGTACAGCGACGCCAAGCTGTGGGAGTCCTTGGAAGAGGTTAAGCTCAAGGATGTGGTGGCTGATCTGCCCAGTGGCTTGCAAAGCAAGATCTCCGAGGGCGGAACCAACTTCAGCGTGGGTCAGCGCCAGCTGGTATGCCTGGCCAGGGCCATCCTCCGCGAAAATCGAATCCTGGTCATGGACGAGGCCACGGCCAACGTGGACCCGCAGACAGATGCTCTCATCCAGACGACGATTAGGAACAAGTTCAAGGACTGCACAGTGCTCACCATAGCACATCGCCTGCACACGGTAATGGATTCCGACAAAGTCCTGGTCATGGATGCCGGCAGGGCAGTGGAGTTCGGCTCGCCTTTCGAGCTGCTCACAACTAGCGAGCAGAAGGTGTTCCACAGCATGGTGAAGCAGACGGGCGACTCCACATTCGATGCTCTGCTCAAGGTCGCACAAAAGGTGGGTAAACTTTAAAGAAATCGTAGAGTTTTCACTGACGTTGCCATTTTCAGGCCCATGAGGAGAACCTGCGGCTGAAGAAGGACTCTTGACATTTCGCCGTTCCGAAGGCCTTCAAAGACTACATACTTAAGATACTGGAACCAATTACGAATCATCCAGCGGCCAATGCGGGCATCCAGAAGACCTTCCTCTTTGCGGAGGCCTCCAAGCAGAAGTTATTAGGATAGCACAGTGGCAGCGGCGGCACCAGAAGCAAACATCCGCACTGAGCGGCCGTCGTAGCATTTTTTACAATTTTAATGTACAAATCAAATTGTTAGGTGTAAAACTAAAAAGCAAACGGTGGAAATCAAACGGCAAGACAATAAGCTGAAGTTGGAGGAGTATATGGCGGCGTCCACCAGCACAGTTCAATCAGTGATCCTTAGGTTTTGTTTTGAGAGATGATGGTGTAGGTAATGGTAAAGACAATAAGCCAACCCCCCTCCTGGTTCGATTTTATAAAATATCAATTATGGACTGTGCTGGTGAACGCCACCGATGTTTTTATACCTTTAAAGAATAGAAAGAAGTGTAATGAAAATTGTGCAATAATTAATTTTAGCTGAACTTTTTGCAGTGGCCTTCAAAAGGTCGCTTCGCATTTGTATTATGTGTTCCAGTAAAACGACAATAACAATCCCATAAAACAAACAAAATCCCAAAAAAAAGAGATGGAGAATTCTATGAAATGTTACGCCTAGTATTAATATATATGTGTGTGTTTTATAGTAATTTATTAATGTACAGGTACGCAATAAATGTAACAGCTCGGTTGGTTCTTTTGTTAATTCACATTTTTATTTCACATTTGGCGCAAACTGTTATATACTCTAAGAAATTGTACGCATTTAACTCGAAAAGTATCTTCCATTAGCTGCAAAGCCCTCCTAGAGTTCACTTTTAAAACTACAACAATATATATTTATAATATTATTAATAATATTACTGCCAGCGCACTGTGAGTAGCGCAGACAAGAGTATCTATCATTTATAGCTGAAATATGTATGTTTAACTTGGCTTAGCTTTAGTTGCCCCCCGACGACATGCTTTTCGGTATGTGCTATATATAAGATAAAAATAAGTCGTTCCGTGCTCCTTCTTAAAAGACCAGGGTCAGCCACGCGGCCATTAGGCAGAATCCTCCAACGGTCGCGTACGGCTGCAGCCGCTTCTCTCCGGTTAAGGCGCGGTAGTACATGCAGCCGCTGAACAGCACAGTGCCCGTTGCCATCAATGTGCCAGTCTGCGGAGAGAAAGTGGACACATGTAATTAGAATATTCACAAACACACACTTCATCATAGGCAGGCCTGTTCCGAAATAAACAAAACTAGATTTAGGCATTTTGACTTGACTAAAAACCTCTTGAGCCATACATACCGAAGAATTTATAGTGTAACAGCAACAAATTGTATCAAAAATCTCAAGATGCAAGCAAAGTGTGCTCAATATACTACCCGAAAAAGTTTGTATTCCTTTTGCAGAGAATAAAACACGATGATTTCCCCTAAAATCTGGAACAGGCCCCCTGGTCATAATATATTCTAAGATCAAAGCGTAGCAAAGGCGAAAAGAGTTTTGTGTGCATATTTGATGTTAGCTTTAGTTGATGGCTTTAACCCGAACAAAAAGAGGGCGCAAAACAGGCTCCATATTTTACTTATCGAATAAGGCTGATAAATGGAAAAAACAATTACAAAATAATAGCAAACCAAAACAAGAATCAATGCCTTTTTGGTACATTTTTAAATACAAATGTTTAATATATAAAAAGAAGAATGAAACAAAGAAAATTCCTACACAACCCCAAACCCATATCAGCTATGAACCTGCTCCATATCACAAAAAAAAAAGAAAGAATTAACCCAATTAATGCAAGTATACAAGTGTATCGTGTGTGGTATTGAAAATTACTTTGTAAGCTGCAATTAGTGGTTGTTGAACATTTAGCTTTAGCTTTGAGAACATTTCATATACATTATGAGTATACATAAACGTACGCATACCTATTATACATAAATATATATATAGTATATAGAATGAAAGCGAGAGCCAAAAGCCAAACTCATTCATAGCTCAATTTTTGTAATGTCAATCAGCGCACTAGACTAGCTAAGCAGGATGTCAATTATACGATTGTTGGAGTTTCGATTTCGATTCGACAGTAACGCGAGTTGTTATAAATTCCGTTCAGAGATCTAACTTTACACAGAGTTTATGTAAAAAAACAAAACCATCAAGCAAAAGCTTTACAAATAAACCAAATACGATCCAGATTGATTTTATTGCGTTGGGGTACTTGGGGGGTGGACAAATCAACCGAATAAAGCTATCAACGGACGGCGAATCAATCTAGCCATGTCTGTTTAAGGGGTTTCAACCATGTGACGGCCGCTTTTTCGACCGTGTTTTGAAACAATTTTCCTGATGGGCGCTTAAGACTCAGCAATTTGAATTTTTTAGCAGTTATTAATTAAAGTATAAAGTATTTTTCCACATTTTTGCAAGTCGAAATATTGTCAAATTTCCGAGATATAGGGAGCTGAACAACTACACTTTAATGAAAGGTACTGCCACGGTTATCACGATTCTGCCGAACTGGCATTCTATTGGATGAATGCGGACACCGAATATTTTGAAAACATTTAAATATACAAATTTGGTGTCACTTTAAATTTTTTTTTTTAAAGCAAACTTTTGTTTATTTGTCTATTTTGCAATGTAAAAAAAAACTACTTGACCCATCCAAAAGATCATAGTCTATGCGAGATACACATGTATGCTAAACATATTCTGCAAATTTCAGGACAATCGGTTAAGTCGTTTTTGAGAAATAGTGTTGAACATTTGGAAGAATGGTGGTTTCGAAAAAAATGCAAAAGAAATAATCATTGCAGGAGTAAGCTGCTCTTAAGAGGATGTGTTTTCAGTGATGTAATTTTGAAGCGACATCGAAAAAGCGATTTATGCAAAAAAGTTTGATTTATTGAATCCGTTACATGGGTCAACCCACATAAGGTTGGGCTTTCCTGAAAAGGGCCATTTGGAATATAGATTTTGTAACTTACTCTACAGATACTCATGTCGTGAATTTTTCTAGTTTTTAGTTGTATTATATTTCATTTTTAACAAATTAATTCTAGTTTGTAGTCAAAAATTGGGGTTCTTACTTTAATAAAAACGTTACGCGAGTATCTAGGGGGACACCTGTCATTTGTTTGTATTATTGTATGGTATTTAATTCACTAAGCTGACTTTAGCAGTTTTGCCACAACAATTTTTTGTAAAGTGGCAAGAATGGCACAATGATTCGTCTAACTGTTCTTTGGGGTGTCGGGTTTCAACTTACGAGAACTGGGTAGTGGGCCAGGGGCATGGCCATCAAGGCGAAGGAGTGCAGAAAGTGAATGCGATTGGCTACATCGGCGAAGGCCTGCGAGTCGATCTGCTCTTTGGGGTCCCCGATATCCTTTAGTATGTACTTGCAGTAGGCGCCCATGAAAATGGCCGACGCTCCGCCAATCCCGGCAAGCCGCACAAAATGGTAGTGACTGCCGGCGAGGCAGTACATCGAGCCGTGCGGATGCACGTATTGATGCACTGACGGCTGCAACGGCAGGACAGAATCCTTCACTGAGATTTGCTTTGGACGCAGTCCCTGCCAGCAAAAAAACGATACGTAATTAGTGCCTACATAGAGCCTAGGACTCCGGGACGCTTACAATGGTGCGGAGCAGGGCGGATCCAGTCGAGATGACCATCTTGCTGACAGGATTGCCCAGGGTGATGTAGTCGAGTGTGTCGCCGAGTGACATGTTGAAGTTGCTGTGTAATTGCTCAAACTCTGTTTGGCGCTGGTCAAGACAGCTGCTGTTTCTACAAAAATTTAGACGCAAACAGATCGGGTGTTGCCAGATCGTCGGCTATCGTCGAGGTTTCCAATGGATTTACTTCCAGCACACTGAATTTCAGCCCTAATGGGATTTAACTCCGGATTGATGTAAAACAAACGAATACTATATAGAGAATTTATGAAATAATCAACAAATGCTTAGGATTCGGGGTAAGGGAAATATAAGCGTTTTCGATTTCAAGCGACAGGATGAGGCGGACAAGAAAACTTGAATTAGCCAGAAAGATAGAATTTCTGGAAATCTGCAATTTTGTACTTTCAATCATAGTGGTGGTAGTTGGGCAAACAACACATCGATAAGCGGAAACAGGGAAAAATAGTCGATACCATTGTAAGAAACGAGTAAAATGCTGTCCCTGCCTTTTTTTGTCATGATTAAATACTCTTCCCTAAAAATCTAGGCAATAGGCGGAAGTGAAGGATGCAAACCTGGTAAAAACAAGGACAAATACTAAATATCGTTTCTGGATATAACTCGATAGTTGGCCAAAATCAAAATTCAATCACAGCTGATTTATTTTGAAGGCCTGGCAACCCTGCAACTCGACCTCTGCGGCTACACTGAAAAAAAATCCTTGCGCTGTCGTATTTTTGCCGGCTCTGCGAAAAAGAGACAAGCGGGAAGAACTGTGATTATTTGTGGAAACAGAATACGCTTATCGGCCGATCGGTGAGTAGGTCGGGGCGTAAACCCTTCAACGCTGAAACAAAGCGGAGCAATTGCTGACCATTTCGCTCTCTTCTTCAGTTCAAGCAGAACAGCCGAACGATGAATATTCCAACTCATTGCGCATTTTTAATTGCGGCGGCCATAGTCGCCATATGCAGTGCTGAGGGAGTAGGGGAGCGCCCTGCCTATAGAAGGAGCTTCATCAATCCGTATCCGCGGTACAGATATTTCGAGGACGGCGTGGATCCTGGTGAGCCTCTTTTCCTCACGCCGCTCATCAACAATGCCTCCATTCCCAAGGCGGATGTGCAGAAGCTGGCGCGCGTCACGGGTTCACAGTTCCATGGAGTGGAGAGCTACTCCGGCTACCTGACCGTGGAGCCTAGCTACAACTCCAACATGTTCTTCTGGTACTTCCCTGCCGAGCAGGAGCCGGAATATGCTCCCGTGGTTCTATGGCTGCAGGGTGGTCCTGGAGCCTCTTCCCTGTTCGGTTTGTTCACTGAAAACGGTCCCATCCAGCTGGACAGCCATGGAAAACCGCAAAGACGTAACTGCACCTGGAGCAAGACTCACAACCTGATTTATATCGACAATCCCGTGGGCACCGGCTTTAGTTTCACCGATAACGAGGCTGGTTACGCCAAGAACGAGAAGGATGTGGGTCGGAATCTTCACGAAGCCGTGATGCAGCTGTACGAGCTATTCGAATGGAGCAACTCCACTGGGTTCTGGGTCACTGGCGAGTCCTATGCCGGCAAGTATGTGCCGGCCTTGGCTTACCACATCCACAAGGTGCAGAATGCCATTGAGACGCGCGTCTATGTGCCGCTCAAAGGCGTGGCTATCGGTAACGGACTCTCGGATCCGCTGCACCAGCTCAAGTACGGCGATTATCTCTACCAATTGGGTCTAATCGATGACAACGGTCTGCTGAGTTTCCACGAAGCCGAGGCCAAGGGGGCAGCCTGCATTGAAAATCATGACTTGGAGTGTGCCTTTGACGTCTTCGACTCGCTGATAAACGGGGATCTCACCAACGGGTCACTGTTTAGTAACCTTACGGGCTACAACTGGTACTACAACTACCTGAAGACCCACGACGACGATGGCGCCGGGCTGGGCGACTTCCTACAGGCGGGCGCCACGCGCCGAGCCATCCATGTGGGCAACAAGCCGTTCCACGATCTGGACAAGGAAAACAAGGTGGAAATCCATTTGAAGAAGGATGTAATGGACAGCGTGGCTCCCTGGATCGCCGAGCTGCTCGCCCACTACACTGTGTGCATCTACAGCGGTCAATTGGACATCATTGTGGCTTATCCGCTGACTCGCAACTACCTCAAACACCTCAAGTTCCCGGGCTCTGACAAGTACAAAGTGGCTCCTCGGGAGATTTGGCGCATTGACGGCGAGGTGGCTGGATATGTGAAGCACGCCGGGCATTTGGTGGAGATCATGGTGCGCAATGCTGGCCACATGGCTCCCCACGATCAACCAAAGTGGCTGTATGAGATGATCAACCATCTCACTCACTACAAGCACTAGGAGTTGGATACTCGTAACCTTGTAGTCACAACATTTGGCCTTTCTTTTAGAGTCCTATAACTTTTGTAAATCTTATCTTGAATAAATAACGTTGAGTTTTTGGGTCAATGTTTTATAATATAAATGGTTAAAAATCTTAAACACTTGCTTTCTCCCCTCTTTCCGTTCATCACCTCCATTTAAACAATACGAAACACTAACAAATAACATTGTTTTTATAAATATCTTGACTTAAAAAATTAGGTACTACTATCTACAGGGCCTTTAAATCCCCTGGCCACTAGGAAATGCTCCGCAGAATCACCACGGCTGGCGCGCGGTTTAACACGCTTCACCTTCTCATAAAAGCGCAGCATGTCACGCTCCAGCTTGGGTACGTCTCCGTTATCCCACACCTTGACCACCAAATGGGCCTGCGGCGCGGACATGGCCAATGCGAAGCGGAGCACCTCGTAACAGAGGTTTGTGATGCTCTCCTGGTCCAGCATCCGCACGCCCGTGGCATTGGGCGCCATGTCGGAGAGCACGCAGTTGACCCTTCGCTCGTTCAGGGATTCCCGCAATCGCTGCTGTGCTTTGGAGGTGGTAAAGTCCATGCCGCCGAAGATTGTGGCTCCGGGCACAGCATGGAAGTGCAACAGGTCGATGCTGAATACCGCGCCCAGTGGCGCTTTTTCTTGTTTGCCATTTGCGTTGGTCCGCTCCACCGCCACCTGGGTCCAGCTGCCTGGAGCAGCTCCACAGTCCAGAACCGTGTCTCCAGGTCGCAGGATCCCGTATTTATCGTCGATTTCCAGGAGTTTAAAGGCACTCCGGCAGCGGTAGTTCATCATCCGGGCTTTCTCCACGTACGGATCGGCCAGCTGGCGGGTGAGCCACTCCTGGGAGCTCTTGCTGCGGCCCTTGAGGTTTCGCGGTTGCTGTTTTGCATTGTTCGCGCCGACATTGGCGTGGAGCAGGCGTTTAAAAACAAAATTACCCGTAAAAACCAGCCGCATTGTGTAATTTATCGATAACTGTGAACATATTATCGATAATGGTGTTGCCACTACCTTCGAGAATGGTAATTTTATCGTAGTAACCTAGGGTCACACCGCCACGAGTAAGCATATTTCAACAACCCAACCACCGGTCATACTACTCAAACCACTCAACCAACAATGGCGAATAATGGAATTTTTTGAACGCGAGTGCGAAGAAAATGTTAACATAAACTCAGCCAGAGCTGTAAAAGTGTCCCCAGATTGAAAAGCAATAAAAGAGGCAATATCATGCCACAAACAACAAACCAAGAGTGACTGCCAGTGCAATAGAAAACGGAACGGAAATCGCAAATATTTGTTCACGGGGCCCCTCTCTCTCACGCTCTTTCTTTCCCCACCCACCCCCGACCGGCTGCCGGAGCGCACAGTGTTTTGCAAAATGAGATTCTGCGTTGTGGCTTATTGTTGCGTGTTTTTCTTGCTGGCTAGCGGGCATATTGCATCAGCTACTGCGAAAACACAACAAACCGACTCGGCAGAAGTCGTGAGCAGCGGCGAGGATGACAAGACGGTGAGTGGACGTGAACGCACGGACATAGGGGCGGTATGCGTGACCCACTAAGGGTGGTGGACAGTAGCCTATCAATTAATATTTCATCACGCCGCCTATATATGTTGGTCATATAGTAAGTCACTTTTTCCTCCTCACCTCGCAGGACTGCACGGACCTCGCCCGCGACGAAGAGGCCCTCATGGTGTTCTCCACTTTGGGCGGCGGACTGACGGCCATCGATCCGGTGACCAGTGAAATACGCTGGACAATAGCAGATGGTAATTACGTGCACCACTTAAAGGTTTTCAATTTGTGGGGGTGCAGTGGCCCCCACTGTCCAAGGGTCGGGAGTGGTGGGACTTGATACATGTGTAAAATTAGAAGCTAGGGAAATAGGTTGTTTACTAAGGGTCACATATTTTCTGCTTTATGGGAATTTTCTGTAGAAAAAAACGCTTTCAGACAAGTATAATACATCATTCCATTAGAAACATCAGGAAATCTATTTGAAACAGTCAAAATAATTCAAAATTTACTTCATACTCGTCATTCGATAGGCCATAAAACCTCTAAAAACACATTAAAGTTATAAAAACATTTAAATTTGCATTGCAAAATCCTTCTCAACTTGAGCGTATAAAAAGCTATACTTCTACTTCCCCAGACTGCATTTGCACTCGCCATTTGCAATGCGTTTCACAAACATGCGGCTCGATGAGCTCATTGTACAGATGTGATCGCTAGGATAGGAGAGATCTTTCTCCCGCCACTCCGGTGCTCTATTATTTTCCTTCTCATCGCGTTATGTTGTGAACGGTGCCCAGAGGCCTGATAAGAGACCCACGTATATACGCAATCTCGACAGCCGTTCTCCGGCACACAATTCCTCCAATTAAGTGTTGCCGCGATACCACCAGTTGCTCATACCCTTCCTGTGGTGGGTGGTTGGGACTTTGGAGTCATTTCCCTCCCGTCCTGTTTAATGAATATTTCCAATATTTATCAGCGTGACGTACTAATTTTCAATGGCAACAACGAGTTAATCGTTCCCTATAAAAGTCGTTAGATTTTAGCCAGATACATATATTCACGTGAGTCACAATGACCAAAACGGTGGTCCGTTAATATGGATTACTATCAAGACGATTAAAGTGGTTGCTGGGTGACTGGGCATTTGACATCTAAATGTTTACACAATATTATAGGAAATTAATTTCCCAAATGTCTCTCTTAATCATAGAAAGTGTATTCTTTATTAGATTGTCGATATAAAACCGACAAAAAGAGCATTCAGAGTTCACCCTTGTGGGAAGCATTCAAACATTTCTTATTGACTTGTTTCCTAGTTCTCCTAGGCTCCCGCTATTTTTAGTACTCGGTTTTTCTGATTGTATTCCGTTTTCGATTCTTTAATTTTTTGATAAGTACTGCTCGAAAACTCCGCCGTTAGCTTTAATTTATAATTGCATTGGGAGTATGCCAAATGACTCCCTAGGCAACAATTAGGTTCCCCAATACACATGTTGTGTTTAAACATTTTTTAATACGGAAAAACCCACGCCCCGTAAAGATTGTTTTATGTGATAGCACTGCACTGTACATGCCCATATGTATGTCCATTCGTATTATTAGATATTTCATGCTGGCCGCTTGGCCATCTGCCTTCGTGGAACTGCAAATGATTGAATATTTTGGGACATGTGGACAGCATCTGACCTGCGGTTTCCAAATGATCCGCATCCCAACTACAGAAACTACGGAAAAAACCTATATTAGTGACAGTTCTGAGAGTTGTTCAGGCCAATAATTTGTTTTTGATTCACGGTAATTACTCCCAGCATGAGAGATCAGTGTATCGATATGCCCTCGGTTCTATTACCTCATCACAAGGGGGAATCAGGTTTTGTCTACCGACTACCGCTAGCTAATTAGAATGCCTATGCTAATGAAAGTGCTGCCGAGGCGGGTTAAATGACCTGCCCCAGAAATTGTGGCAACGGCGGCACTCGATTAATGCCAAGAATTTTCACCGGGCCATGTGCTGTGCTGTGGGGCTGTAACTAATTACTGATAAGGATGGGCAGTACTCGAAATTGTTTGCTTTCATTACCCGATATTTGTTCGAATAGTAGGCTTAATACCACATAAATTTTGCAAAAATTATTCCCTCTTTCTCGTGGCGGACATTTGCATTCGCCAAGTCATAATTTGACGGTGTTGCTTTAAGCGAATCGTCGGCGATAACAGAAATTGCCAACACTCCGACTCGACTACGTAAACAACGTCGGAATAATCCGCCTTGGCTCTCTTTAGCTCTGTGGTTCTTATTTACTCAACTGTTGTTTGGCCTGACATTGTCTTTCGCGGCAAAACGCGCTTAATTTCAATTTATTTGGGGAAAGAAAGGCTCGTTTACATTGACTTGTGTACTAGAAGCTGGTGCGTGCATGCTTCGGTTCTACCAAGGGGTGATTTGGTAGATTACACGGCTGTTCGCTTATATTGAAAGTACAACAAGATAAGCGTTATCGAGAACGAGTTCTAGTAATGATTTACTGCGTTCGCTTCACTTTAGTCCGGTTCGAGTTACTCGCCTGAGTTTGGTTTCAAGACATTAAAGGGAATAATAGTATAGTTAATTCTACACATAGTTGGCTAAAAGGGGGTTTCCCATATCATACACGTTAATATGATAGATTGAACAAAATAGCGGTGAAATAAACAGACTTACAAAGCTATTTTAAGCGCAATCACTTTAATTATAATTAAAACAATCTTCTATAAGGCAACCTGTTTTAGTTGCCTGATTATACTTACTTTTCAATACATGTGTACATAGGTTCAAATATTCGTTTGACTAGAAAACTTTAAAACGAGTTTTTCCAAGGGCCGCTTACTAATAATTCATTTTAAAACGAATAAGGTACTGTATTCTATTGGTTTAAAATTCGATGAGCTGAACTTATGCTTTGCTTTTTGTTTGTGGCAGATAAGAATTATCATGATTCATGCACAAGTCTCAGAATCCATTAAAAATAATTTCAGTTCTGATTAATTTTAATGTTTATTTCGTTGAAAATGTCTATAAAATAACTATTAGTTTGTTTTTCCATTTTTTGGGAATTGTTTTTCTCATAAAAAGTGAAAATGTTTTAAAGCTAAGAATATGAATCTTGAAGAATACGTTTTAGGAATTCAGAAATACAGAAATCCTATTTATAAAAATTCGTTTGATTAACAAATTAGTGAGTTTGACCAGTCTTTAACAGTAGTATTTATGAGGTTTCCTGGCTAGGAACTGAATCCGTTTAAGTGGATTAAATCACCAAAACTATACTCATCTATATGCCCCTCTTATTCTAGATCCCCCCATAGTGGCAGAACCTCAGGAGAATCTGCAGGTTCCCCACTTTCTACCCGATCCCCGTGATGGCAGCATTTACCAGCTGGGTCAGATGGGTAGCCTCAAGAAGCTGCCGTACACCATTCCCCAGCTGGTGGCCAATGCCCCCTGTCGCTCATCCGATGGCATCCTGTACTCGGGCAAGAAGAGCGACACCTGGTACATGGTGGATCCCAAGACTGGCAGGCGGGAAAAGGTGATGGGCTTCGGTGACGCCAGCATGGATGGAAAGGAGGGCGAACAGATTGGCTGGGCCACATCAAGAGCCATCTATCTGGGCCGAACCCAATACACAGTGATGATGTTTGATAGTCTGGCCAAGGACAAGAATGCCAAGCCCTGGAACATCACATTCTACGACTATAATGCCCTGAGTGCTCCGCCAGAACTGGCCAAGGAATATGGTAAGGAAAAAGGAGAATCTACGACTGGTAAAGTGTCTAATTACCTTCTTTTATATCACAGAATACATCCATTTGACCACCACCAGCAGCGGGCATATAGTAACCCTAGATCGCAAGCAGGGCAAATTTCTTTGGCAGCGGGATCTCAGCAGTCCTGTGGTAGCCGCCTTTCTCCTGGGACCAGATGGTCTGCTTAGTGTGCCCTTCACCACGGTCTCCGATGAGGCGTACCAGGCCATTCTCGAGGAGTCCAAAACGGGCAATGTGAATACCGTCAAGCTATTGTAAGTAAAACTTTATTCTTTTCCCACTAGGAATGCACTATGGAGCGAACGACCACTTTTTGTGGCATTAATTAATAACTTTAAGACGAATTAATATTCTTAGGTTCTATTTTTTCAATCAAGTTTATTATAGCAAAAGGAAAATATTTTATTGATTTTTTTTTTCAAGAATTAAATTTTTTTTCAGTGTTAAACAAATTTAAAAAAAATATTTTTTTATGTAAAATACATTAGTATTGCAAAATAATACAATTATGTAAAATTTGTAGTCTGAATATATTTTAAATATATTAAACATATGGGCATTTCCATAATGTCGCACGCGACATTCGTACGCATTCAAATCAAAAAAAAAGTATGGTACATTTAATTTTTTTTATTTTTATAAATGTTAACTTATAGCTCTTGCCTAGGACTATAATTGGTGCAAATGTTGATTTTGAGAGTTTGCTCAATTTTAAGAAAATTAAAAAAAACTGAAGGATTCGCACGCGACAAAAACAGAAGTCACTTTCGCGGCGAGCTGTTTAAACACTGATTTCAACGAAACGGCAGGGACTATTTTAATGAAACAAATTTTAAAATATGATGCAATAATGTGACTTTCATATGCTTTAATTTACAAGCAAAAATATAGCGTAGTTTATTTTTTATTTAATTTTAATCATATTCGCACGCGACATGTCGCACGCGACATATTTTTTCATCATACTTTGCATGTAATTTTTACTATTATAAGTAAATTGGAAGAGCATATATCTATTTTATTTCGACTTTTTGCATTCTTCTAGTGATGTTAGTAAACAACAGTCAAAGCATAATGCCTCGGTTTGGATGTAATTAACAAATGAAAACAGGTCAATTTTTATGATGTTTTTCATCAAAATAATGAAAAATCGTGTTTGTGCGAATATGCATTCGAATATTTTGAAATTTGTTTTAGAATATGATAAAGCCCTTCAAATTTAATCAATTGGCCTTTTCCTAATGTTACTATGTTGGAAAAAAAAATTTTAGAGAAGTTTTAGTGTTTTGGCCGCGGTTGACCTTTCTGTGGAAATGCCCATATGCAGTATTCTATGATTCTGCACCCTCTCTTTCAAAAAAACTTAATTGGAACAACCTAGTTTTCTGTAATATGTGTTGAATGCCTACAGATTTAGTATAACATGAATAAAAATTTCAATATCTGTACCAATTTTGGTCGTTTGAACGTTCCAAAGGTAAAAAGCTCGCTATTTTTCAGATGTAAGGTTAGCACTTTTAAATCTAAATTTCAGAGAAAGTGCCGAAAAGTGAACTTTTATACTCACAAAATATAACAAAAATAGTAAACTCTACAACATATATCCAAATGTAGAGGTGGAGAGGGCTGTACTCATTTTGTAACTCAATTTTAATATTGGAATACATTTAAATTTTATATAATTTTTGGGGTTACAAATTACACAAGAATATAGCGACACCACAATATATTTCTGCAGTGAAATCCCACAAAAATATATTACAAAGCACTATAAATGATAAATATATATAAATTGCATCAAAAAAGTTGCACTTTATTTAGATTACTTAAATTTTTTTGGCATTCAAAATTTGCAGAATAAATACGCGATTTAGCAGCGCTCGCTGCTCGTTGCAGTAACAGCTGACTTTAGCAGCGGATAACTTAACAGAGCCCGTCACTGTTAAACTTTTCTGTTCGTAAAATTTCAGTTTATTGTTATTTGAATACATTGCGGCTAATAAAAACGTCGTTTTGTCGAAACATCAATCTAGACTATATCCCTAACTTCTACCTCATTTGTTACAGCCAATCTCTTTATGTGGGCGAGCACCAAAAGGGCTTGTATGCTCTGCCCTCGCTGGTGGACAAGAATACTCCACGGATATCCACGACGCCACCCATAAAACTTCTCGACGGACCCGCCGCCGGAGAGCAGGCGTCCAATAGCCAGGAAACAGATCCGCGAACCGTTTATATCAACGATGTCCTGCAGGAGCACCAAGGCATCGTGCTGGGACACTATAATATGCCCAATGAGGGCAACAGCGGCAATCTGCAGCTGTCGCCGACACCGTCCAGCAAGGATATCCACAGCCTGGCCACCATACACAACTATAACGATGGCTACGGCCTGCTGGCAAACAACGAGAAGAACGCGGCCGATATTGGCGTCCAAACTGACCCGGAACTGGTGGAGATCGGGATTGATCAGCGGACGAATGGGAACACCATAAACAGGACCAAGACGATCATCCTGCAGAACAGCAACAAGGTTCAGGCCTTCATCAACGAGTGGTTCATGGAGCACCCGAGCGGAAAGGTCCACCAGATCCTAATGGTAATCGTTCTGGGCATGATCGCCCTGTTCTGGTACACCTGCAGCACCATGAGGGAGCTGCAGAAGCAGAGCGAGAACGGCTCGAAAACCTTTGCCATTGCCCAGAACGGTTCCAACGGCAGCACCAACGCCAGCAACGGAAGCAACGCGAGTGCCCAGGATCTAGTTGACTTGGGCGGCGGTCAGGTGCGCGTGGGCAAGATCAGCTTCAACTCGAACGAGGTCTTGGGCAAGGGCTGCGAGGGCACCTTCGTCTTCAAGGGCACCTTCGAGGAGCGATTCGTGGCCGTTAAGCGGCTGCTGCCCGAGTGCTTCACCTTCGCCGACCGGGAGGTGGCCCTGCTCAGGGAGTCTGATGCCCACGAGAATGTGGTGCGTTACTTCTGCACCGAGCAGGATCGCCAGTTCCGCTACATAGCCGTGGAACTGTGCGCTGCCACTCTGCAGGATTATACCGAGGGGGAGCGATCGCTGGAGCTGCAGAATCACATTGACGTGTGGCAGGTCCTGAGCCAGGCGTCCGCTGGGCTGAGTCACCTCCACTCCCTGGACATTGTTCATCGGGACATCAAGCCCCAGAACGTTCTGATCTCGCTGCCAGATGCCAAGGGCAAGGTGCGAGTGATGATATCAGACTTTGGTCTGTGCAAGAAGCTTAATTTCGGCAAGACGAGCTTCTCCCGGCGATCGGGGGTAACGGGAACCGACGGCTGGATTGCTCCGGAAATGATGCGCGCTCAACGAACGGTGAGTTGGGCTTGGGATTACCCGTTTAGCGATATCTTTGAATGGAAAATAATGGATATTCCTTCGGTATTTTGGCTTCACAGACAACGGCTGTGGATATCTTTTCCCTGGGCTGCGTCTACTACTACGTACTGAGCGGGGGTCAACATGCGTTCGGGGACAATCTAAAGCGCCAGGCCAACATACTCTCGCACGAGTACAATCTGTCCAAGCTGCGTGGCGAAGATGACACCGAGAACAGTCGAATTGTAAGCAATGATACGCCACTTAAGCTATAGTAATATTGACAAACGGCTTCTGTATTCAACAGGTTTTGGCTGAGCAGCTGATTTCGGATATGATACACAAGGACCCGATGTCGCGGCCTCCCGCCCGCTGCATTGGCAACCACCCCCTGTTCTGGGATGAGCCCAAAATGCTATCGTTTCTGCAGGATGTCAGCGATCGCGTTGAGAAGCTGCAGTTCCATGCCGAGCCGCTCAAGTCGCTGGAAAAGAACGGACGCATCGTTGTGCTGGACGACTGGAACGCCCATCTAGACCCCATGATCACGGATGACTTGCGGAAGTATCGCGGCTACATGGGGGCCAGTGTTCGGGACCTGCTCCGGGCTCTGCGCAACAAGAAGCACCACTACCACGAGCTGACCATGGCCGCACAAGAGATGCTGGGCTGCATACCGCACGAGTTCACGAACTACTGGGTGGACCGCTTCCCTCAGCTCATCTCGCACGCCTACCACGCGTTCAGTATTTGCTCAAACGAGCCCATCTTCAAGCCGTACTACAACGCCGGCTACCACTTCTCGCGTCCGTGGTACTTCGACGCAGACGACGCGTTGTTCCCCATGCTGATGCGGGATCCGAAGCCGCTGCCCAAGATAGGCAGTCCCAAGAAGACGCCGCCAGCCGCTGGCAGCCAGGCTCAGCAGCTGAAGCAAAGGAAGGGTATCTACAATTTCCGTAGGCCCACCGACGAGCTGCCCATCCCGGGTGTGGGGCTGCAAAGGAATCTAGAGCTGGACGGACAATCAGTTGAAGCGGAGGGCAAGCGGGATGTGTTTGCAAACTTCAAGTTCCGGCGCTATGCCAAGCCGGGAAGCAATCGCAACTACGGCAAGGAGACGGCGCAGGACAAGGAGAAGTACGTGAGCTGGACGCTGCCGCCTTCAGCGCAGGATTAGGACAAGGGACAGAAGAGAAATGAAACTAGAAGATGTAGTTTTAGTCTTTTATTAATTTTATTATTAATACCATAGTTATTATTATTGATTTAATTGTGCAATTTGTGTATATGCAACTATTCCAAAACGATTCCCAATTCAGTTCTAGCTAAAATATTCAATGAAGATGAAAATGAAACTATTTTGTATACCGAGCTGTAGCAATAAGAATGTAGTGTGTCTGTCGAATGCACACAATTTAACTGTGATAATTTTTGATTTTTGTTCAATGCCCAAGTGCAAGAAATTGATCTAAACGAATAGTTCGAGTTTTATAATTAGTAATTAGCCTTATTGTATATTTATCATAAGTTTAAGCATAACCTACCCCCACATACACACACACTCCTCCTTGACAAGCAGAAACTATGTATACATACGTTCTAAAAGCATTTCGTATTAGCGTTAAGGATGCGAATGTTACAGTTGATGAACAACTAGATGCTTGACAACGAGCTGCATTTTTGAACAAGTCTTAAGTCTAATTAAAAAAATAATAAATAAACATTTAATACAAATTTAACCAGTGCTTGTAAAAGGGGCTTCAGTGTTTTGATCATTTCACTCTTCTCGCAGAGCCACCGAAAATAAGTTATATTTGATTCGGAGAATCTAAATTCTCTTTTACATGGAAACTGCTTGGAAGCGCGAGGGAAAGTAAGAAATTTCCTATGACCGGATTTGAGTTCACGGAAAAGAATATTCCAGTTCTTGGTTCGTCGATTTTTTCAAATGACTCGGCTTGTGTTTTAGTTGAAAACAAGAATGTTACGTGTTGGATTTTCTAAAAACTCTTAAGCCTAATTTAACAAACAAAATAGGTAAATAAAAATGTTTTAAAAATTTTACAAAACAATTTTATTCTCACTATACATATAAGTGTAACAATTTAAAACAATTTCTCCGAATATATTGGCTATGAGAGATGAGAGCTTGGAGTTCGTTCAACAACAAATTCATAAATAATTGGATGGATCAACAAATATGTATGTATAAAACACTATGCTATACACGAGATTTTGGTTCTTTAGAAGAAGAAATATATTTGTAACTAGAGTTTGTTTCACTTTGGCCTCGTTGCTTGTGGTTGTCATCCGTTGGTTGTCCTCATTAGTTGGCCGACTTCATCATGGTCTTCATTTCGTTGCGCACGCAATACTTGAAGGCATCCCAGCCCTCCGACTTGGCCACAGACTGAAAGGTAATATGTTTGATATTAGTTACTGCCCCTTCGCAGGTTGGATTGGAAAGTGAAAAATGGGGATCACAGAAAAGTGAATGAGAGAGGCAGGAAAGCAATAGATTTCTTCGTGGGATCCAGAGCCCACTGACCTCCTGTTCACCTTTCGGCGCGACTACCTCAATGGGAACCTTTACACGCTGGTCGGGGTCAACAGCATCTTGCTAGGGAGAGAAAATTCAACTAATGGCAATGAGCTTGGGCCTGGACTTTCGCCTGGACCATATAATCGCAGCGCAGTTCGTTATTATACGAGTACAGTGAGTCATCACTTCCGATCGATCGGAAATGTGATAATGAGCGGGTTCAACAAATAAACACAACATAAGCAGTGCAGTGCAAAGGCCTGTCCTTTGCATTTCCAGAACGTTTTTTAAGGACAAACACAAATGTGATATAAATTAAGTTCAATGTTGTGTATTATCAGTGTTTAATGGTTATTTTGTATACGGCCAAATAAAAATAAAACTAATATTATAAATAATACTATAATTAATGTGTTTAAAAGGAATTCGCTGGAGTTAATGACTTAACATCTAAATAAAATGATGAGTAAAAGAGGTAAACATTAAGCTTAAAGCCGGAAAACGCTTACGGGCAAGACAATAACAAAAAACACATAAGTAACACATTCAGCGAAATTATGGCAATAAGCGAAACTCAATACGTGCTATAAATTATCAAATAACTTAAATATAAATATGAGTGTTCAGTGCCAAAGCGCATCGCTGTCAATGAAGTAGTCCAGGTGTCGACAGACCCGATGCCGCCAGGCCACAAACATGGGGTACGCGGGCTCGTCATAGGCGTCCAGTGCCTCGTTGTAATCAAAGAAACGACCACTTACTTTAAAGCCACGATGCAGGCGATCCTTCATTATAGCGATGAACTCCTTGTAGGACAGCAGGCCATCGCCATCGGCATCGAAGATGGCAAACACAGTGTCGATCAAGTGTGGACTCAGCTTGTAGCCGGTGCAGATCTTAACGGCGCGTGAAAATTCATCTGTAAGGGAAGAGAAATTTACTTTACTTTTACAGAACTTTTAATGTTTTTGGCTGCGGTTGGTCTTTCTGGAGAATTAACCATATACATATCTACATATCTAGCCCGATTAAAATCCCTCTTACCCTTCGATATAGCCCGATCAGCCAGCGTGTACATCCGCATTGCGATCGTAAAGTCATCGAGATTGTTCAGGAAATGGCAAAAATCACGGAAATCATGGAAAGTGATGCCCTTCTCATCTTTGACGCGCTCGAGCAGCCGCTCCAGGAAGATATCGTACTCATCAGTGGCCAAATACGTGTACCGCAGCAGGATCTTGGCAAAGTCCAGCTCGCTAATGACACTGTTTCCCTTGGAGAACTCGTGGAACTCCAGCTCCAGCACCTCCGTCTGCAGGTTGTCCATGAAGCGGTAGAAGTTGTCATAGTTAATCACGCCCGTGCCGCGTTTGCCAAAGAAATGCAATTGGAGGGTGGTGGCCACCACATGGCGTCGCTGCAGTCCCTCGCCATCGTTCACATAGTTCTGCTGGAAGAGATTGAGCACGTGGACTGTTAGGAATCGTTTGTTTTCCAGGTTCCTAGTCGTTAGTCACACCAGGCTCGTCATGCTTGGGACTCGGGAAGACCTTACCTCGAGGGGAGTGGGCTCTTGGGGCTCGGGCTCCTCCGGCTCTTGTTCGCCGTGCTTCTCCTTCCAAGCGCCGCTGAAAATGCGCTCCATCTGGGATTTTATGTACATGCCGGAGTTGCGGGATAGATTTTTTGTGTTTGGAGCAGGATTTAGGTGTTAGGTTGGAGAGAAGAAAAGTTAGGTGGTTTAGTGAGGATCAATCACAGTGGTTGGTTGGAGCGATTCTAGGGTGTAGGCCTGTTTGGTAAACAAAACGAAAAGCGCCAGGAACGGGAACGGAACTTGACAAAAACACAAGCTGGTAACGGAAAAAAGTCATAATTCGAAGCCAAAAAAACTGTAACTTTAAATTAAAGATAACTTTAGGCAAAGCGCGTACGAATACAGCATTCGTACAAATAAAATAAACAAAACACAAATAATCAAAGGACAACTACGCTGTTCTGTACAATTTTCGGGCGAAGTGTTCGCGAAGCAAAGCCAATACTTAGGGAAACTCTCTGGTTACTGATAGACTTACTAGACCCCTCTTTGGTAGCGCCACCGCCATGGGCTTCATCATTTGGCTTTGCTCATCATAGGAAACTAAACGCGATAGCTGCGATCGAGATCGATTTCGGAGACCACAAACAAAATAAATTATACGTAAATCAGGAGTTACAACAAAGAATAAACTAAAGACTACAGTACAACTAAAGGGAAAGTGGTGTGCAGCTTACTTCATCGCCCTAGGGCCAGCTATTTCACAAATTATTTTCATTATTCATAAATAATATCGTTAAATTATAGCTAAACTTAATAAATAAAATGCTTACAATTTGCTTGGTTTGTGGATCGACATTTTGAATGTCTTTGAAAGCGCCGGCCAAAATGGAAATTATCTAATGATGTCAATTTTCAAATGATATAAAATAATAAGTAAATCAAATCAATCAAGGAACCCATTGGAAGCATGAGCATTTGATGGGGGAAAATGATTCCCTGCTATTTACCACTAGGAACTCATCCTTGTCCACGCGCTGATTCCCATCAGTGTCGAACATGTTGAAGGCTATGCGGAAACCCGATTTGGGCTCTGAAAAACAATTTAAGCATTAATTGCCCTCCTCGTATAAGCCAGTATCTCTTACTTGTTAAGATTGAGAGTAAAAACAAGTACTCCGTATAAGAGACGATGCCTGAAAGAATAATAAATGGTTAGCGAAACATTATTAAAGTTATTTATTAGAGGAACACCTATTAGGCGTAAACGTTGTTGCAGTAACTGCACTTAAAATTCCCAAGTACGAATTCAGCGATACACTCCTAGAAAACTACGCAGAAGTCTGCTGCTTGTTAAAGGTTTCTTTTTTTATGTTTCGAGAACCGGTAAACACCAAATGTTATCTTATTTCATTCTTTTGGATAGGGTAATACAAACCGAAGGGCCCAGTTGTATCTTTGAGAAATTAAAATTTGGATCAATAATATAATTAACTTTCGACATAATCTTTCTTCGTCTGAGCGTCACTTTTTTATTTACTTTAAAACCAATAGCGCACCACCATTTAGGAATAATTTTATTAAGTTTTATAAAAATGAAATTTAAACTAGTATAAAGGAAACTTAAATGATATATATATACAAATTTTAAATACAAATTGTTCTTCATTTAAAAATAAATATACCCTTGTCTATGTGCACCTGATGTGAGTCTGATCATATCATTTAAAATATAATATAAATATGATAAAAAAAATATTATGAAAATTGTTAGACCAAACAAGAAAGAAAGCTAACTTCGGCACGCCGAAGTTTGAATACCCTTGCAGATTGGTTTTCATATTTATGTCATAAATTATAATGCCGAAAACAGACACTAAACTGAGTTACATACCATTTTACCTATACTTATTATGTTTGCAGTTTGACAGTTACAGTTATACATTCCCAGCTTTACATTTTCTCTACATCTGATCGCTTCTATGGCTGCTATATGATATAGTTGTCCGACTTTCATAAAATGTATACCAAAATTCTATAATAATAAGTAAAGCTCATATCTCAGAGTAGATGAAAATACATTGAAAAACAACGAAGTTATAATTTTTTCTATTACTTTCCCTATCGTTCCTATGGCAGCTATAAGATATAGTCGTCCGATTGTCATAAAATTTTTACCAAAATTTTGAAATAATACCAGAAGCTCATGTGTCAAAGTAGATTAAAATACGTTGAAAAACAACGAAGTTATAATTTTTTTGATTAATTTCCCGATCGTTCCTATGGCAGCTATAAGATATAGTGGTCCGATTTTCATAAAATTTTTACCAAAATTCTGGAATAATATAAAAAGGCTATATCTCAAAAATGATGGAATAATATTGAAAAACAGCCAAGTTAAAATTATTTTTCTAAAAATTTATTGAACATTTGTATGGCAGCTATATGATATAGTCGTCCGATCCGGCCCGTTCCGACATATATAGCAGTGAGAGTATATAGAAGACTGCAAAGTTTCATTCAGATAGCTTTAAAACTGAGGGACTAGTTTGCGTAGAAACGGACAGACGGACGGACAGACGGACAGACGGACAGACGGACAGACGGACGGACAGACGGACAGACGGACATGGCTAGATCGACTCGGCTGTTGATGCTGA